TATAAGACTCTCCCCTAACCCTAACCTCTCCCCCACCTGAAGTGTGGTGACTCTCAGGTTAAACCACCACCAGTCAGCTCTCTCTCCAAAGGGAGAGTTGAACTATGGTGATTTTACTGTTAACTTTAGACTGTTTCAATACACTCCTGGCCAATGTCCCACAATCTAACCTCTGCAAAATTGTGTCATTGACCATGCTTTTGGTCATCTAACCTAGTATGCCCTTATCAAATTGCAAGTATCTGAGCTTATGCGTGGCACATTCAAGTCTTGTGATGGTGAAGCATCAGAAGGAAGAACCTCCTCTGAGGCTTCATTACCGATGATGTCAATAGAATTCTGCTGTATGTCTAATGCCCTGTGGGAGATAAAGACACATATTTGCAATTGTCATTACGAAAGTGATTCAATTTCATTTGCTGCTGAAGTCAAGAGAACATAGTTGACTGTTGTATAAAAAGCGTGCATATGTTATTTTATTCTGTCACCAGTAAGCTGAAAAGTCTCTTGGCCACAGAACAAAGACGCATTTATTTTTCTGCACTTACTCCTCTGCAGTTGTCGATTGCGATGAGCCACCTCTAATTCTTTCCCTCTGCCTTTTGCTCTACATTCTTCTTTCTCCTACAACAGGAGTTGCAACAGGTATGACTGACTGCAGTAGTTCAACTGATAGATGGAGTGCATTATAATAGGTTGAGTATCAGTGGTGGATAGATACATGGGAATGTGAGGAATTTTGCTTGCAGGGAAAGTGGACATAATGTGTGATGTTCTGGTGTAGGCCTGACAAGGCTAATGGTGGGGTGGAGGAGGGTGATACACACAGGAGGATTTGTTGAATGTAAAACTGTAGTTGCTCTTCCTGAACTGCATCGATCATTAAAGTAACACAATATTCCCGCTACTAACCTCCTGGGCACACTTTGTAAAAGCATGAGGTTTCTCTCACCTTATTGACCCCAGTTGTCTCAGAAGGGGAGTATCTAATAAACAGGATGCAATCTTTGTTCATCCTGAGTCGATTGTCAAAGTTAATATTTTCTGCCTCCAGTGTTCGCCAAATTCTGAGCTTGGATTGGCCCATTAAATACTGGAGTTAATATAATCATGTTAATCATATTGTGTTCAGTAGACCTGCTGCACTGGAATCAATGACAAATGATATTTAAATGGTTGCGTTGAAAAAAGAATATAAATGCCACTGACAATAATGTAGAATTTACTTCTTGATTTCTGTCATAGCCAAATCCAAATGTGCTCCATGTAAAGCAGAGCCGTTGTTTCTGAGAGAACTGTGATAGTGGCAGCAAGTATGGGAACCCAGTGGACTGGGATCCTCAGAGGCAAGTAGGAATAGTGATTGATGTGTTATAGGGTCTGCAAGGATTGAGCGCTGCTAGGATGTGCTGTTCTAGTGATCAAGAGAGACTCTTCCAAAAGGGGCATCAGTTACAGATTTTGGGAGGGAAGGACTCAGAGTACTCTTTTGGGGGTCTGAGACAATAAACAGCAAAGTTAGCTTCCAGGGGCCTGAACCACCTATGCAAAAATTTATTTCGTTGGTAGAGATAGAGGGGAAAAGCATTAAGCAGAAAATATGTCAATGGGAGCAGAAAGGAGGCAAAGGCCATTACTTGGTTCATGACAACAGAAAAGGCAGCAAGGTATCATGATGCCCAAGCAACCTGTGTCACAGTGCCCCTTATCCTGAAGAAAAAATTTATAGACTCAATGAGAGCCAAGAACAATAAATAGCTACAATTTGAGCTTGATAGACAAGTGGAACAAGTCTGACTGAAATAATTCAATGGACATAGAATGACAGGACAGTGTTACAGAAATAAATGTTGCAGATAATGCAGCCCAACATGAATTTTTATTGTTTAATTCCAGATAGATTTGGATACTGTTAAACAATTACTATTTCAGATTAAGCTCGTGGAAATGAAATAACTTTACAATTGCTTGCTATCCCAAACATACAATGTCATAATACTCAATAATATTATTCAATGATGAGATCTGGTTCAATTCACGTTGCATGCATCCAGTAATGACTGAGGCTGTCCCTCAATTTCAAGATGACATCTACTCAGTGCTGGACATTGATTGTCTTGTGATTGAACAGGTTGATTCTTCAACCATAGATCTTCGAGCGCATGGGGCAGGATGTCCCATAAGGTCATAAGATCCAGAGTGCAAGATTCGCTTCCTTTCTTTTTCTGCCACTGTTCTGACTTGTTGTTAATGTTTTGGGACTCAAAGTGTGATGCAGTTTGGTGAACAAGTTGTCACCATTCTAAACGATAGGTATTAGGTTCCTCCCAGTCATTGGACTTATTGCCAATATGCTTCATGAAGAGTTTCAGATTGTCTTCAAAGCATTTTCTTTGTCTTCTTCTGGAATGTTGGCTACTTGAAAGTTCAGCTTAATTTTGAAAAGTACATTAGTACAGTCTTCATAACACACACCTTTCAAGCAGAGCATCAAACTGCATTACTTTTGTTGAGAAATATAGTTGAGAGACCAAGGCATACAGTGCTGAAGACCAACAAACTGAAGTAAGTAGGCCAGAAAATCAGGCAAATTGATTACTGATCATTTGGTACCAAGGTGAATTTTAAGAAGACATGTCTTGTGGATCACAAGAGAAAGCAAAGTTAAAAGATTAAATATAGAAAGCAGGACAAATCAGTCAAACGCTTAAGCATAGTTCATTATTCAATTAGATCATGGCTGATATTGAAATCAATTTATCCATCCTAAATTCAGACTGTGAAGATTGAAATGTTCAACTGATCCTGTATCCACAGCCTTTTGGAAGAAACAGATTCCAGATTTTCAGTACCGTTGTTTGAAAAAGAAGGGCTTCCTGATCTCACTCCCGAATGGTCCAGCTCTAATTTTAAGATTACAGATTGTTATGGATTTCTCCACATGTCAACCTTCTAAACATAATGGAATATGACCAGCAAGCTGACCTTATAGTTTAACCTTTTACTCACTGAGTTCATGCTTGGAAATCTGAGTAGTATCCTCTCCAAAGCTAACACATCCTTCCTGAAGTACAGTGATTGAAAATAAATCCTGGTGGGGTCTGATCAACTCCCTACACAACTGAAACACCACATCCTCATTGTTATATTTCAACTCCGTTGATAAAAAGGCCAAGACTTCATCAGCTTTTTGATTACATTTTTAACTACGTACAAGCTATGAGTGAGTTTTTAACCTTGACTACAGAATCTCTTTACTTCTCCATAGTTCTTAATCTGTCATCGTAAGGCAAATATCCTGATTTGTCTTTCTTAGATCTAAAGCAATGATTTCATTCCCCATGTTGAGCTCAACGGCCACAATTTTGCCAGCTCTTTAGTGATGCGGGGGGGGTGGAGTGGAATGTTGGCCTATTGGCATGTGAAGGCATTGTGGGTGCTCAATGCCTCACTGCCACTATGTCATATTGCCAGCGGTGGGAGGGTTGGCAGATCAGCCTGCCAGGTGACAAGCTTAAGTGTCATTGCCATGTAACCATAAAGGAAGTATCCAGACTTGCAGATCGTAAGTCATTGAGAGGCTGTCAGGTTTTACCTAACAGTATTCACTCTGCCAAGGTGGAGTCAAGTGCAGCTATGGTAAGAAGAAGCCCGTGATTGATTGAGAACACAATGACTCAATTGGTCACCCAGTGGCAGCTGCACCACCCAAGTTTCCATTGCTGACAATATGCCATGTTGGTGGGAAGATTTTGGGCCTCCTTTTAGCACCTTCCTCCTGCCATGTTACCAGCCCTCTTTGTCTCTCAGCCCATTTGGTAAAATTCAGCTTTTAGAGATAGTTGAACGTTCCTCATGAAACTGATATTCTTAGCGCAGAAGTTGAGTTTTATTATTCATTCGCCTGGAAAGAAAGCATCAGTTTATCACTACAACACTCATAGTGCCAAGAAATCCAGCAACATAATTAGTGATCAAAACTGGTTTTAACAAACTAAAATAGTGCACATATCTATTATAATAACAGATGGCTCATGTCAGGAAACGTTGCATGTTGGAGATGCTGTTTTTCAGACAGAAACTAAAGTAACCTTCTTTCTCAAGTGTTTGTAAAGTGTCCCATCTCTTCATCTCAAGAGCAGTGTGGGATTTCCAGTTTTGATGAAAGATTGTCATCTTAAATGTGAACTCTGTTTGTTTGACGATTGCTGCCTGAATTCGGCTATTTACAGAATTTACTGTTTTATTTTGGAGTTTTGATATCCACAATATTCATTTAAAATGGACTACTGCCAAAAATAAAATAACCATTATCCTTTGCATGAATGTCAATTTCAAAGCTGCAGACTATGGTGGCCAACATGTTTATTTTAAGCCCTATTGATCAAAGCCAAAGGTGAGCTCCATTACTCTTCAGGTATTTTCATGCCTACAGTCCATCAACAGATTTAATCATTTGTTGAAAGCATGCAGTTTGTAATAAAGTAGTAGTGTCTAGATGTATGGCAATTTGAATACTTGTCTGAATTGAGTCCTGACAGAGCAGCATTTTTATTGTGTTTCAGCTATCTTTATTACTGTAGCGCCTCTGATCATTGGAGATGGAAATGCATATAGAGAGCAAATTGCATGTCTGCTCTAAGCAGTGGTGACACTGTTTCCTCTTGTTATGTGATTTCTTTTCTTCGAATTCACAGCCTGGTAGGAAATATCAAACTCAAAAGAGCCATGAAAAGCAAGGGATTCTGCTTTTTTTCAAAAATTTCTACAAAAAGTTATTTTTTGTCTCAAATGGAAAGTTAGCCACAATAAATAGCAGCAGAGTTCAAATCTACTAATAAACTAATCATATGCATAGCTGTCACGGCATACAATTTCAGAAAAAAAAGCTTTGCTGTGTTGCAGAAATGTTAAACTTATCTGGCTATTTCATACTTCATGTTATCAGTGGTTGTTGCCACTGATAATACAACGAGACATCAAATTCCCTTCATCCTTACCTCTCTCGATCTTGTTCAAGAAGGTTGGTGAAGTCATCACTCTTGTTCATGTAGTCTGTGTGCTTGTGTTTCTCATTCTCCAATTCATACACAGTATGCCTATGACACTTCTCAGCCAGAAGTAATTGTTCCAACATACGTCGATATGTCTCTCTGTGCTTCTCCACCAGCAAATCCAACTGCAGATACAAGGAAAACTCATTACAATCAAGCTGGACTGCCCTAACCTCTCAGATTACCACTTCAATGAATTTATAGTGAATCCTGATACTATTCTCCACCACCATCCACACTAGCAGACTTTCCAGTAAAAGACCTGCAAAAATCAACAAAGAACCAGAACCCCAACTGATCATCTTCCTTCTTCCAACAATGCTGAGGCTGTGCTGACCTCTAATGAGATCGATCATGCTCATTAGGGCAGGCAGCAGCACCCAAGTTCAGTAGCCATCATCACATCAGATAGTACATTAACCTATTGTCTCAGAGGGGGTAGCAGGCACTGGCCTGCTAAATATAACAGATTGCGGTTTTCACATTTATACTGCCACCACCTAAGTTAAAACTTTCTTGTAACATGGGGAGATTTTTGACAACAGATTCTTTGGCATTGACTATTTTATCTTCCTTTTAATTCGTAAATGGATGCAGGCTTCATTAGCTGGGCCAGCATTTAATATGTGTCCCTTGTAGCTCTTGGGAAGGTGGTAACGAGCTACCTTCTTGAACCGCTGCAGCCCATTTGATATAGTTACACCATGATGTTGTTAGGGAGGAAGTTCCGGGATTTTAACCCAGCAATACTGAACAAATGGCCATATATTTCCAAGTCAGTATGGTGAGTGCTTTGCAGGGAAAATTGGTGATGGTGGCAGTATTCCATCTATCTGTTGCACTGTGGTTGGTAGTAGCCATCGAAGGTTCTGTGGGATGAACCGTGGTGAATTTCTGCAGGGCACCTAACAGATGGTACACACTGCTGTGCATGTGCATCAGTGGTGGGAAGATAAATGTTTGTGGTGCCAATCAAGTAGGCTGCTTTACCCTAGATGTTATACACTGGAAGATAAATGTTTTTACACAGAGTCAGTGTCCACACTTTAAATGAAAGCTATATTTTTGTTAACTACACTCTACAAAATGCACCACCCACTAATTATTAGCCCCTTCCCCATATTTATACAACAATTCATACCCAATTAGCCCTTACTTAATGTCCACGACCTTGAGCTATTAGGTTTCAGATATCTCTTCAAATACCATTAAATGATAACACTGGTTGGTGTCAAGCTTCTTGAAGCTTCATTAATACACAGGTAAGTGATGTGTATTCTATCACACTCCTGACTTGTGCCTTTTAAATGCTAGATAGACGTTGGGGAGTCACGAGCCAAGTTACTCACCTCAGAATAATTCGCCTCTGACCGGCTTTATATGGTTAGTATTTATATGGTTAGTCCAGTTCTGTTTCCAGTAAATGATAACCATTGGGATGCTGATAGTGAGGGGATTTAGTGAGGGTAATAGCATTTAATATCAAGGAGTGATGGATAGATTCTCTTATTGGAGATAGGCATTGTCTGCCACTTATCAGCCCAAGCCTGGATATTGTCCATGTCTTGCTTCATTTGAACATGGACTGCTTCAACATCGATGAGTCATAAATAATGCTGGATATTGTGTAATCATCAGTGAATCTTCCTGTTTCTGCCCTTATGGAGGGAAGGTCATTGATGAAGCAGCTGAAGATTGTTGGGTGTAGGACACTGCTCTGAGGAACTCCTGCAGAGATGTTCTGAAGCTGAGATGACTGACCTCCAACAACTGCATCCATCTTCCTACTTACCAGATATGACTCCAACCAGCGGAAAGTTTTCCACTTGATTTCCATTGTTTTAGTTTGGCTTGGCTAAGGGCAGTCACTCTCACCTCACCGCTGGAATTCAGCTACTTTGTCCATGTTTGGACCAAGGCTGTAATGAGATCGGGAGCTGAGTGCCCCTGGTGGAACCCAAACTGGGCATCAATAACCAGGTTATAGATAAACAAGTGCTGCTTGATAAAGTTGTTGATAACCCCTTTTCATCACTTTAATGATGATCAAGAGTAGACATAGAATGGTGATTGACTGGGTTGAATATGATCTAATGTTATGTGTAAGGACATAGCTAGGCTATTTTCCACATTGTCAGGTAGATCCCAGCATTGTAACAATGCTGAAACAGCTTGCCCCGGGCGGCAGCAAATTCTGGATTACAAGTCATAGTATCATTGCTAGCATGTTGTCAGGGTCCATAGCCTTTGTAGCATCTATTGCCTTCAGCTATTTCTTGATATCATGTGGAGTGAATAGAATTGGCTGAAGACTGGCAGCTATGATGTAGGAAACTTTTCAGAGGAGGCCAAGATGGAGGATCCCAATCAGCATTTCTGACCAAAGGTTGTTACAAATGCTTCAGCCTTATCATTGCACTAATGGTCTAGGCTTGATCTTCATTGAGAATGGGGATGTTTTTGGATCCTCATCCTCCAGCAAGTTGTTTAATTGCCCACAACCATTTATGACTAAATGTGGAAAGTTTGCAGAGCTTAGATCTGATCCATTGGTGGTGGAATTGTTTAGCTATATCTATCAGTTGATGCTTGTGCTGTTTGATGTGCACATAGTCCTGTGTTGTAGCTTCACCAGGTTGGCATCTCATTTTCAGGTATTCCTGTTGTTGCTCTGAGCATAACCTTGTAACTCTTCATTGAACCAGGGTTGATCCCCTGGCTTGATGGCAATGATAGAGTGAGGGATATGCAAACCATGATGTTGCAGATAGCTTTGGAGTGTTATTCTGATGTTGATGATCCACAGTGTCTCATGAAAGTCCAGTTTTGAGTCACTAAATCTGTTTGAAATCTATCCCATTCAGCATGGTGGAGGTGTGAAAAAGAGACTTTGTCTCCATCAGGACAATGCAATGGTCACTCCTGTTGATATTGTCAGGGAAGATGCATCTGCAGCAGGCAGATCCGTGAGGAAAAACCTAGAATGTGTCTTTCCGCTTGCTGGTTCTCTTACCACTTACCACGGACCCAACCAAATAGCAATATCCTTTAGGACTTGATGAGTCCTGAAAAATGGAATCAATGGTCATCAGGGGGCAAACTCTCCACTGGTTGGAATCATACCTGGCATAGTGGAAGATGGTTGTGGCTGTTGGAGATCAGACATCTCAGCTCCAGGACATCTCTGCAGGAGTTCCTTAAAGTAGTGTCCGAGGAACAACCATCTTTAGCCTCTTCATCAATAATTTTGCCTCCATCATAGGGTCAGAAGTGGGGATGTTCACTGATGATTGCATAATTTTCAGCACCATTCATGACTCCTCAGATACTGAAGCAGTCCATGTTCAAAAGCAACAAGATCTGGACAATATCCAGGCTTGGGCTGACAAGTGACAAGTAACATTTGCACCACACAAATGCTAGGCAATGACCATTTCCAATAACAGACAATCTAGTCACCACTGCTTGACAATCAATGGTGTTACCATCACTGAAACCCACCACTGTCATCATCCTGGAGGTTACCATTGACCAGAAGCTCAACTGGACTTGTCAAATAAACACAGTGGTTACAAGAACAGGTTAGATGCTGGAAATACTGTGGCAAGAAACTCACTTCCTGACTTCAACCAGTAATGATGCTGCTGAGCCACTTTTAGTGATGGACATTGAAGTCCCCCAAGCCAGATTCTTCCCTTCCCCCAGTGCTTCCTCCAAGTGGTGTTCAACATAGAAGAATACATGAATTGTGGACTAGGCAATTTGCTCACTACATTCATTTCTCTGCTCTGTTTCGACCTTGGTGCTGCAAGTTGTTAGGACTTGTTGTAAGTTATGAGCACAACAGACTAATCTGCTCAGGGATATCAAATCAATGGTATTCACTAATTTTGTATGAAAATCAATGCTATGCAGTGTCAAGGTCAGTGGTCACACTTAGTACCATTTCAGTTTACTACAGTACTTAATAAGGGAACCTTTATTTTCTGTGAGTTCTACCCCACCCAGGATCTTGAGTTCAACAAGGCACCATGATCATTTGGCTGCAAAGCAGTTAAAAGTCAAGAAATAATTTTCAATGCTTTAGGATTCTGAATGTTGAATGGGTTTACATGATGCTGGCTGTTTATTTTAAATGGCTAAACACTTGTGCTGCAATAACAGACAAATGAATGTCACATATTCTTTGTTCTACATGCTCAACTGCATTTATAAAACAATTTACATTTCGATAAACCTGATGTCAGCTTAGACTTCTGATGGTGCTAAATATGCTGATTTGAAGGAGGAGAAAATAGCTTCCATCTTCCTCAACTTTATTGGAGAAAACTTCTGCTCATGTTTAACAAATAGTGTGATTGATCAGAGAGATGAAAGCTTAAAGAGGGGTGGTTGTGAGATAGTACTGCAATCCATTAATGTTCGCGTGGGAACCTTACATTATACATTGTGTCAGAGGAACAGATTATTGGTAATAAACAGGAGTGCACAGGAATAAAGCCTTTGGGTCTCCAGATGTAACAATGTACATATGATATATAACAGCAACGGTTAATTCGAGGTTATCGTTTTGGTAAATAATTCTGTTAATGGCACCTCCTACAAATGTAACAGCTCTGCCTTCTTTATATGAAGCCTGTTAGAGTTCTGCCTCTCACTGTGTGTTTAATGAAAGTAACACTTGCTCATTGCAGGAACTTCATTGGAGCCTTGTGAAATGGGAGGACATTGCAGTGCAGCCACCATAAGGTCTGTCTGATCAGGAAACTTTCCCACTCTGACCACCTGTCGTAGTCCTATTGGAAGAATGATTTGGATTAGTTATCATCTTATTTAGCCATACAATGACACGCCTTGGCAGTGGTGACTCCTCTTCTGGAGTAACGTATTCAGTTATGGTCACCTGTTATAGAAAGGATATTATTAAGCTGGAGAGGGTTCAAAGGAGATCTACGAGGATGTTGCTGGAGTGGAGGATTTGAGTTATAAGGAGAGGCTGGATAGGCTGGGACTTTTTTCATTGGAGTGTAGGAGGTTGAGAGGTGACCTTACAGTGGTTTATAAAATCATGAGAGGGATAAATAAGGTGAAGAGCAGGTGCCTTTTCCCTAAGGTGGGGGATTTG